CATGAATTGAAACATGAAAAAGTTAAAAACTCTTCACACTGCGCCTACCATTATTGTCCCTGATAAAACTCACAAAACTGACTAGACAGATTTATTCTAACAATAAGCAGTCCTCCGCATCAACTTTCTCAGCATGTCCCTAAGCCCTACGAGATCCCGCTGTTAAGGCATAACTTTTTTTTTCAATGCGCTTTAACACTTTCGATTCCACGGTGACGTCGTGCATGAAGCGCAGTCACGGCCACGTGGTGGTTTCCCCGCAGGAAACCTCATCCTCCAAGGTCAGAGGACAAAACTCTTCCGCAGTAACTCTATCTAAGTCGCCAATGTCCGCCTTGGGCTTAAACGGCAACTGCGAGATGAGAATTCCTTCCTTGAGGACTTTCTGACCTCCTCCTTCCTCTTCGAATTCCGAAAAGTCATCGTCACTATCGATCCTCGCACCGACAAAATCGGCGTCCGTCAGGACGATCGTGTTCACTCTTCGTTTTCTCGATTTTTCTCGCGATGTGTCCCTCGGAGCCTCCTTCGAGACGCCCGATAGTCCTCTTTTGCCGAGGCGACGTCGCGGTTTTTCAGAACGACGCGGAGAGGACGCAAGGACGCTGTCGCTTCCCCCGATCGCTCGCTCTTGATGGATGACACCCGGTCGCCGTTCTTCATCATGCGTGTCGCTACTGCTCGGCAGCTTCCTACTTTCCAGCGCCGACTGTGCCGCGCTCTCCGGGAATGCATTTTTATCGGTGGAACCGGCGCCGACGGCGACCGCGTTTTCACTGGTGCCACCTGCCACAGCTTCCTTCGGCTTCCCGTTCGAAGCGGCTGTTCGCTGACAGGTGTCTGCGATGTCGACCGGGCACACCGCGTCGGGATCAGAAGACTCCGTGATGCTGCGGCTGAGACTCGACTCGGCCGGCAAATCGCTCCGAGCGGATCCTTTATCGACGGCCTCGACGCTCTCAACGTCGGCTCTCATTCGCGGATACCTGCGGTACTCCTCCTGCAAGTAAACGCGAAACTGGTCCTTGAAGTAACCGTCGATCATCCTCCATATGACTGCGCTATACCAACTTAAAACGCCGAGCAAAACCACACCACGAACGGCGAATGCTAACATGATAATGGCCTTGCTTGTAATCGAGATGCGATTACGTACAAAGTATTACAGTAAATTAAATATTCCAAATTTCTAATTTAAATATTCTAAATTTCTAATTTAAATATTCTAAATATATCATGCGTTATCACTTTGCTCCTTAACTCAGCGAGATCGATATGATAAGCTACGGAATTGATTTAGTCTTAAACCAACATCAAACTATCTTAACATTAATTGAGAATCAAAATGATAATACTGAATAATTGATTCCTTCGTTAGATGCTTTGAACACTATACGATAGTTCTAAGAAAGTTTGTCTTCTTAAAATGAAGAAGTTTCAACAAAAAGCTACAGGGAGAAGCTTTATCTTACACAAACATCGCAATCTATGCATCTGACTTTCAAATAACGTGTGACAAAAGTTCCGCTAGACAACTGTTCGCTTTCTCGTATTTGCAAGGATAATAAATCTTTTGAAAAACTGACGCGATCATTTCTCGTCTTATTTTTCATCTCAAGCATCGATCTCTTGCCGATCTGAAAATAACGCTTACCATTATACAATCAATAACAATTTCTATAAAATGACAATCAGTCTTTGTCTATCTATCATTCGTATCCATTCATTATCAGTTCTAATATATTATAATATTGAACTTAATATTCTTACGAGAGACAAAAGTTTACTTAAAATTAATCGATTGCAATAATTAAAATTACTAAAGAATATTGCTCCGTAGAACTACTACATTTGTTTAAAATTGCTTAGATTTATACAATGCTGTTTCTAAAATCGTTTCTAAAAATCTTTCTTTTCAGGATCAATTTAATCCTCTTCTCCCATGAAATAGTCTTTGATAATGTAGAAAGATTCTCTCATGTTCGGCCAACCCATAGTCACGAAAACCAATATTGAATTCGCGATCACGAAAAGTCGCATCATTTCGATACCAGTGCTGGACCGGAGCCAGTTTCCGAAGCCTTGATTCTCTTCATCGCTCACATTTCCCGAATCCGACTTCGTTGTCGCGTTGCTTCCGTTGTGCCGACTCTTATCACCCTTATTCTCGTTGCTTCCGCGATTCTTCATGATGACCATACAGTGATCATCTGTAAGTATTGATTTCAGTGCTGAACATCGTAGAGGCATATAACATTAAATGTTCACGCACTAAATTTTCTATGACATTAAAACCATCTAAGTTACGCCTTATCGAAAATAATCAAATAAAATCAAAAGAAGGAATTACTTTTGTAAGAATTCTGCATAGAATATGACAAACGATATTAGATGAAAGCTTATAAATAATGAAAGGATTAAAATTCATGAAATTATTATTAAAGCTACTACTGGAATGTATTCAAAATTTTAAGTACGGATATCCGGAAAACTAATCATTGTGTCTCGCTTGCTGCCACACTGTTTAAGAAATCACGTCACGTAGATGATATATTAATTAATTCGCGTTAAATCTCGAAGAGTATCATCTCGTCGCATGACAATTTATGATAATCTGCTTTAGGACGAAGATCAGGCACGTTCATATTCTTGTCCCGAATATACTTGTGTGCGTGAACACGGCTGTACGCGGCATTCCTGCACATATAAAAAACGCGCATACTTGAGAGTGGGTGCGATGATCAACGCATCGCATTTCAAACTTACGTACACATTTCTTTTCTATCTTGTGACTGTCGTGTCGTGTGTAAAATAAAAATTGCATGGGAATATTGCGTAATTCTCTGCAATCTCGAAGTAAACTGTTGTAAAAACGACGTTGTAAATTAAAAAAAAGAATATATAAAAAATTTGCTGCATGGTTTAAAGGCCAACGACGATTGATAGAAATACAAGCTCACGATTCAACTTCATTGAAAACGGCCGAGCGGGAGAAAGTTAAACTGTATCGGTTGTAATTGAATTTGATAGGGAAAAAAAATCAGAATTTAATCAAGATTTTTATAACTAGTAAAGGCCGAACTACTGGTGTGCCGTAACCAGAGCAAATTAATAGATAACTGATTTGTTTCAGTTCTGAAAAAACGTTCCGACATCGCGTGCTTCGTCATAGAAGGTCAATGAAAAGCCGATAAAAGTTGTTTATTCACTATGAATGATGAAATCGTATCAATTCATCGCTATAAAAATATTGTGATAGCATCAAAATGTGAAAAAAAAATGATACTGTACCGATTAATAAATAGAATAATGATCAAATTGAGTATTACAGTACAATAATTCTAATACAGAGTAATCTCTCTATCAAAGCAAAAGTTTGGCAGAAGACACATTGAGAACATAGCATAATACATTGAACAAAAAATCTCCCGGTCCACCAGATGTTCATTGTTACCATAGTTGCATAATTGCTCGTCCCATAATTAAACGGGTTCAGTGTGTTGCGTCACAAGCGGAAAGTTGGTCACTACGAGGTAACAGTACAACGTTGTCCAATGCTCTACTTCCAAAGTCGCTCGTTCGAACACCCAGTTAGAAAAGTTGGCGCGGTCATTATTCCTATTCGAGCGCGCATCGGTCGGCTTCGTCCGTTATCGAAAACGACGCGCGCGTAAATGGGAACTGGCTGATAGTGCGTCATAACGGTATCAACGGGAACGAAGTAAAATTTTCTCAATTCCCAATAATACACTTGTGTTGGAAACTAGTTACAAACGACGCAATCATACGCAACAAAGTGACACGAAACGCGACTGCGCGCGACGAAATATGCAAATTCGACGAGCAACGAGGCTTGCGGTCAGTGAACGAGGAAATTGCAATGGCGAGGCCGTTATCGGCGAAGGACAGCCCGGAGTCGCGCGTGATCATTTCTATGGAGAGCGATATGTCCGACGAGCCCTCATTCTCGCATCCCTTTACCGTAAGTTGAACCATTGTACGCACAGTTACGAAAGTTTAATCTCTCCCCACTGTTGCTTTTACGTACCGCACGTAAGCCATGGTTGGTGAGCTTTAGCTATCATCATATCGATATTACATGTCGACCCACCAAGATTGCCAAATATTTGACCAGTTATAATTGAAGAGACGAGTTCAGAGACGAAAGCGTACTGCCTGACTTTATGACTTTATCGACTTGAAAGTAAAGTCGACAGTCGTGATAGTGTGATCTTTCACCACATGTTTACCCATAAAATAACTTTGCTAACAATATAAGTATCATCCTGCTACTAAATTGCTAACATAAAATGTCTCGAAATATTCAATTAGGATCATTTCATAAACGTTTTTATTAATTTTAATCCAAATTTAGAATATAATATAACGAAATATTAAAAAATTTAATTTATCGGGCAAAATAAATCAGATTATGCAAGAATAAGATAGAATAAGACTTCTTTTCGCTACTTTCTCTCTCGGAATATAATGTTATCAAACTCACCACGCTACATCGATCTCTTCCGATGATCACTGACGTGTGAATCGATTAACCCCGAATCAGCGTCGAAGCACCTCGCTCTTTTTACGTCTTTTCACGCAACATGAAGTCCGGGCGACGTGATGCATGCAACAACTGCCAGCAACGCTGTGCCGCTTTTCGCATCTACTTTGCCGCGAGACGTGCTGATATAAGGTTTCCCGGCTTGGTAAGCTCATTACAAGATTTTCGCGACAGTGTCGAGGGTTCTCCGAAGCTTTGCACGGCATGTGATATGGCGTTTCCAAATGCGCAATAATTTCAATACTGCGCAATCTCCACGACCTGTTACCTTATTATATTCTTACGTGCGACGCCGTGCAAGCCGTGAATAAATTTTGAATATTTTCGCTCCGTACATTTCTTTACATATATGCGACGTTATTCCACTAATCGCATTAAATATCCTTAGTTAATTATAACTCGTTTTAAAGTCAAAATAAACAAAATTTAAATAAATCTTCTGTTTATTCCTTCATTTATCCCTCTAAAATATAATAAATGTATGTAATGCAATATGTATATTGTATGTATAAATGTATGTAATGCAATATGTATATTTTTAATAAAAAGTAGAGATCGCGGAAAATTGGAAAAAAATAAAATATATACTATTAAATTTGTGTGAAAGAAATAATTATATCATATGTTGCAATATAAATTTGCAAATAATTCTTTTTCCATCTATGCCGTCATTGATTTATAAATATAAATTTATTTTGTCTCAATACTTGGCTGCCATAGAACTACTTTTCTCTCATCTCTCTAATGTGAGCAATTAACATCACAATCTCAAATAATTATTTTATAATTAAATGCACAATTTGGTAATCACAATCCATAGAAAATTTAATAAATTACTAACAAATGAGATGAATTTCAGCGTTATCATCCTCTGATCGATTAGATCATACGCAACATTTCCCATGTGGTGCTCCACGAAGAAGTTCGATTAATCACGCGAGCTGTCTAAAACCGTGAACAGAAGAGATACAACCCACGCCATTCGCATTCCTATTCATATATAAATAGCGTGAAATTGACTAGAATGCGTACAAACGTTCGCATCACCGACTACTTTCTTCCGATGACAAAGAATCCAGATATCGACGCAAATATAATTTTCCGTCGAAAAGATATCGGAAAGAGATTTGCTTGAAGGTAAATTCCGGAAACAAATACTTTTCTACAAAAATAACGGGACACGTAAACGCGCGCACAAAGTGAAAGAATTTATTGCGATATTGTAGTGAGAAAAACTGTTTCTTTATATAAATAAATACGAATAATATCGTGATGAGAATTTTAATGATAAATTTATAAATATGAAACAAATATTGTATTAAAATAAATATAAATTGCAATCATTAATTCATGAGATTGCTTCAATTTATTTGCAATATCAGATGAAGATTATTTTCCATAAAATAAAGCTAAAAATAACGTGAATGAAATGGATTCGTTCGAATGTTACACGGCCCGAAATAAGGAAATCCTCCCGCTGTCCCCATCAAAGTCTCTAGGGACTTGCTTATTCTTGGCGGAGAGATTGACTCGTAACACGGTTATCCGGTACTTCGTTTCGCCGATAATGCCAAAGGATCATAGATGCATTTCCAACTGACATTGGCGAACGATCCGGTATGCCCGATGCAATTTTCTCCGAAAGCATTACCCGCGTCATCATAGAACATCGATATCCGATATACAAAGTTTCAAAGTGGTTTCTGTTGAATGCCACACGTTATTTAAAAAAAAAATAAGATTCTTGCATTAAGCGCTCGAATTGTCAAACGCGAATTCTTGCAAAATGTGTACGGTTCTCTTAATAAATCCGAGTCATTGTAAACAAGATTCGCGAAATGTCATTAGCATTGCGTACATATAGCGAATAATCGGATAAAATCTTAATCCTACGGATTATTTTATTTTAATATAATTTTATTTTACTCTTTTTCCACGTATCATATCTAGGTTGCACGAGTATTTTTAGAACAAAAAAATAAAGTACTGCTATTTATACTTTAAACTCATATAATCCCCTGAAATTCTAACAGGTACAAACACGGTTATTCATCGTCCGAATTTACTCGTAAAATTTTACTCATAAAAGCGTAATGCAATAAAAAAAAGGAAACACCACTTAAATTCCACTAAGATTTTTGTAAAACTAAGTGCAACGTCACTATTGGTGTTACGGTCCTTTGGAAAGACTCGACCGGATTCCAGGAGGTGTTGGACCATTTCTGCGTCCCCTCCGGCTGCTACGGCGTGTTCTCTGCCGCCGCTTATGGCGAGGAAAACTCCCGATCGGACAGTGAGCAGCTTCCCTAACGGTCGACGAGCACGGCGCATTAGTCGTTTTGCTAAAGAAT